TGTCTTGCGGATTATGCGGGTCTTAGCAAAACCAACACAAAGCAGGCCTTATCTTCCTTGAGACTCCTCTCTCCCCAAACCCACCACTGCTGCATAACACCGAAAGCGCCGGCCAAGGCGGAGAATAATAAATTTTAATAGTGGGAGGGCATTTCGCTGTATTTCTCTGTGGACACCCTAGGCGTTGTAGTGAACCTGGGTTGTTGTTTTTTTAAAAAACCAAAACCAAAAAAAACCCAGGCATTTAAAAGTTACAACTTTGGCTGAGACTTTCATTGACTTCCCACTTTGCTTGTATATTTGGCTTCTTGTAGACTAAAACCTGACAAAGCGTTTACAAAAAAAGAAAAGAAAAAAGAAAACTTATTCCAACATGTCCTTTACAGAAGGAGGCTCTCTGCCCCCTGCTCTTCCCGCTCCAGCAGCACATGCCGTCTTCAGAGGTCAGAGGTCGAATGGCCTAGAAGTGGCTGAGCGAGGGGATATCAAAGGTGACCTGCAACTTAATATCCTGTTGATGAGCCTGTTGAATTTACGAGTGTCTGTGATACAGACAACAATCGTGGGCAAGTGAGGAGCCACCGAAGAGAGCTTGTCCACCTCCCAGTCTTTTCGGGTGAAGCAGAGGAGGCTGGGCCTGACAGGATTTCTCTGTTAAGATTTGGATTTTACAGGAGAAATCAGACCCCTCTTCTGCACACATTTCTGTCTTGTACAATTTAACAATAACAGCAACAACAACACCAGAAGCCAGCACCATATTTGCTAGGAAACAAATCTAACTGATTTCAGTAAGAAGTAAAGGAAGCATAGAAGCCTAACAACCTTATTGGATCAGATCCAGCCAAAGTTTGATTTCAATAGGGGTGGAAAAACCATTCATAGCTTGAAATCAAGGGACGGAACAACCTGACCCTACGCATACTTACTCGGGAGTAAGATGCTAAATCACTTGCATATTAACTCCTAAGTCAGGGTGCATGCAGTTTCAGAACTCATTGCGCTTGGTTGGCTTCTGCCTGTTTGCTTGCGAGTAAATCCCATTGACTTCGCGGGAAAGTATTTTCGACTCAGGCTGAATCAGAGGTGCATAATTTTGCCAGTAAATTTGACTGAGCACAGTGGGACCTTCGAAGTAAACGTGCATAGGATCGGGCTACACGGGGAGGCTGGATTCTAGACGCATTTTGGCTGGGGGAGCTGAAGTCAATGGGATTTGTGTGGAAGCAAGCTTTCCTTTGCAAATATAATTCTTATACAGTCACCTAGACAGAGACAGCCCTGTCCTCGGGTCAAAGGAAAGCCAAGCCACAGCTAAATAAGCTCCATCAAGGAGACCCAGCAAAGGCGCAGCCCTAGAGATAAACGGATACCGTGGAGTTCCCCACCCCACACCCCCCAATTGCAGGGGGACGGTAGCTCAGAAGCGGCAGATCATGGCAAAATGACGAAGACAGCGAGCGACACTGAGTGAAGCTGCCTTTCCTTCGTTCTAGGCTTGGAGAAAGCAAAAAGAAAACGGCATAAGCGTGGAAGGAAACTTACAGACCAGGGGGGGGCCATGTTTCCCCAAGAGCTGGTGGCGATGGTGACAGACCGGTCACGTATCTAGCAGGCTGTAGGCCGGGCCCCCCAAGAAAGCTACTCTGGCTGAGGAGGAATCCGATCCCTTCTCTCCTTCCCTTCGCCCTGCTAACCCACTTCCCGAAGGGATTTTGACTGCTGGCCGCTTTCTTCCCTCGCAAAGAATGAGCTTTAAAGGCTGTACTCCGGCCAATGGCCCATGAAAGGGACGGCAGGTTTCTTTCTTGGCTCCTCTTCTCCCCCCACTCCCTTCCTTTCCTTCTCACCCCCGTGACATTGGTGGGGGGGGGAGAGAAAATGAGGCTTTTTTTTTTTGGCTGTTTGGAGAGAAATAAAGCACTTCTGGGGAGGGGGTGGAAGGACGGCGATCTAGCTTTGAACTTGGATCAGCTCCTCTGTTTCCTACCGGGAGGGGAGAAATGGGAAAGTTTGAAAGAAAAGCGGCGTCCAGCCTGCGGGGGACTCCGGCCGGAATTTACGAATTTACCTCCCAAAAGTGTCCTGAACAAGCCGCCGAGGCCGTTAGACAGCGGGGGAGGGATCTGAGAGAAAGGAAAGGCGAGAGAAAGAAACGTGTGGGTGGGTGGATGTGTGAATGAGACTTGAGGCTACATTCAAAAACTGTTTTAGCCATGGGTTTTGTGTGTGTGTGTGTGTGTGTGTGTGTGTGTGTGAGAGAGAGAGAGAGAGAGAGAGAGAGAGAGAGAGAGAGAGAGAGAGATTTCCCCCTTCTGTCGAAAAATATTCTAGGAGCCTTGTCACAGTTCCTTGAAAGTGTTCCACTATAAAGCCGATGGGATTTACCTACAGGCGGACGCGCCTTAGACCAGGGCCTAAAGGAACTGCGCGCAAGGCTCCGTGGTGTTTATCTTGCTCCTCCAAGGTCTCTGGATGTCGGAAGGTGCGGGGGACCTTTTTAGCTCCGCTTCTCTTTGCCGTCGTTCAAACCCTGGAGAGAAATAGGTAGGTGGGTGGGTGTGTTGGAAAGTCAGGCCGAGAGAAACGCAGGCTGGTTGGGTCAAGAGAAGGGCGGGGGGGTAGAGAGAGAAGCGCCCCACCACCTCCATCCTGCAAGCTGGCAAGGGGCACTGAGAGAGCTGGCCGAGGGCTGCGGACAAGGAAGGGATGGAGACAGTTTGCGATTTGGAGGAAGGAAGAGCCACGCAGCCGTGAGGTGTGCAAGGCTCACGCTCGTTCTGAGAACAGCAAAAAACGGCTCTTTCAGCGCCTAGATCCACTCCTAAAGCTATACCAGGAAGCTAGAAAGAACAGAGTCCGTTCATGCAGCATTTTCAATGGACTAAAATGCATCTTCGTGCCAAAATAAAAATGTAATTTAATCAAGGAAGGAAATCATGGGTGATGTACTATTGATATGTGCGCATTATGTATGTGCGTGCTACATCTAAATAGCTCTCTGTACCTGTATCTCCTTCCTTCCTTCCTTCCCCTACAAGGACGCAAAATCGGTTTGAAAATGGGCCTGTGCAGGTGCAAAAGAATACAGCAGAAAGCGTAAAAAGGTTTTGTCTTATGCTAATATGGCCTAAGGGGGGGGGAATAGAACACACCCCCAACCCAGGAGCAACCCCATTTCCTTTTCTAGTTTCCATTCTCATAAGACCACAGAGATCATTTGTATTCCTAAATGGGAAAAAGAAAGGCCGCCGTTATTTTTCCTAAAAAGACGGGGAAATATTTCTGGATACTGCCCTTTTTATTTCCTCAGCAAATTTGCTTCGGATTGCAGGTTTGGGTGGCTTTTTAAATTTTTTTAATCTAAACAAGCTCATTCAGGAAACAGATCTGTCCTGGCAGGAGTGTGTAATGTGTATTTTCAGTTAGCAATCTTAGAATCTAGTTTGCAAATTTCCGTTCGTGAGGCTTTGCGATGTGATTTGTTACAAACACACACAAACGCAGCGGCAAAAGGTTGCAATCACGGGTTGTTGCTTTTTTCAACACCCCTTCCCCGCTATGCAGCTCGCTCCCATGCCCCCTCCTGACAACCGCCCACTAACCCGCTCTTTTCTTTTACACTACTCCGAGACATCTCTATTTACACCCGTGTCAGCAGCCTCCCAGCGAAGTCCATATCCTGTTGGAATCGATGGGAGCGAAACTCCCGTCGGTTTTTAGCGGATCTGAATGGCACCTTCGCTCGGAATCTTTCACAAAACGCACACGCAGATATTCTCCATCCCAGATATTCTCATCTGCTGTGGTTTCCCTCTCCTTTGACACCCCCTCGCCCAACCTCTCTCTTAAAAAACAAAACAAAAAAACCCATGCCTTGCTCTCTCTTTCTCGCTCTCTCGCCACCCCAAAGGGTCCTTTTGGTCCGGTTTCCCCGCGAGAAACGCACCCGAGAGGTAAACTGGATCTCGTTGGGAACCGATCCCGCCCCCCTCCCCACCGCGCCCCCCTCCCCCAACCCACCCTCTGGCTGCCCTATGATCCGAGCGCTGCCCCTCTCTCGCCTCTGCCCGGGGCGGGAGCGGAGGGGAGGGGGAGCGGAGGGGAGGGGAGGCGGGTCGGACCAGGGGACGCGCGAGTGGCTATTAGCCCGCCTTGGGGGGAAGGCTTGGATTGATGGGGCCGGGCCGACCAATGAGACGGCGCCAGGAGATCGGCCTGGCTGCTGTTAAAGGGGGCGGTGGGAGAGGAGCTGCCAGTCCAGCCTAGGAACTAGCGGGAGAGGCTGGGAGGAGGAGGAGGAGGAAGAGAAGGGGGTGGCGAGGAGGGGGGGATAAAAAGCAGCCACAGCAGCGGCGCCCACCGCAACCAGCAGACGGAGGCGAGAGGCGAGCAGAGGGAGAAGCCGGCCAGCGCCCAGGGAGGAGGACCGACCCGCCCCCCCCGCCAAAAAAGAGGAGGAGGAGGAGGAGGAAGGACCGCATCTCACGGCTGGAGCATCTCCATGGCGGGCGCTGGCGGCGGTGCCTGAGTGGGACCCGCGCCCGGGCTGAGGGACGGACCTTGGGCGCTCCACTCCCCCCTCCGCCCCTCCGCCTGTGTTATTGTTCTGGGCTGCCTCTCTCTCGCTCTCTTTTTTTTCTTTTACAAATCCGCATCTCTCCCCTCCCCTCCCTCCTCTCCCCCCCCTCAATCTCGTCCCCTCCTCCTCCTCCTCCTCCCCAACTTAAAGCGAGCGAGGTTGTGGCGAGGGAAGAGGCGCCCGATTCCTGCCTCTCGTGAGGAGAACAGCGGCGGCGGCGGCAACTTTGGAGCCCGTGAGGCGGAACCGAATGGCGGGCAGAGCGGGAGGCGGAGGAGGTGGCGGCAGCGGCAGTGGAGGAGAAGAAGAAGAAGAACGGGAATAATATATCTATATACACACACACATATGTGTTTTATATATATATATATATATTAAAAAACAGCAACAAGGGGTAGTTAGAAGAGGGGGGAAACCCGAATATTTCAGAGGAGGGGCTGGAGAAGGCGGGGAGGGGGGCACCGGGGCGGGGTAGCAGCGCAGCGGAGAACCGTGTGTTTGTTTTCTGAGCGGAGAGTGTGCGTAGCGCGCGAGCGGAGAGCCGGCCACTCGCGCGCGCCCCGGCGTGTGCGTGAGCGCGCGCGCACGAGGGAGTGTGCCTATATATCTCCTCGCCTGTTTGTGAGAGAGAGAGAGGCTGTCGGTGTGGCTGTGGCGGTGTGACATCTCTTCGCCTGCGGGCTGGTGTGTGTGGTACTGTTGTTGTTGTTGTTGTTGTTGTTGGTAGCTCTTTCCCCCCATTTCTCCCCCCCCCCTTCTCAGGGAAAGGCGAGTCCCCTCTGCGTCCCTCCCTCCCCCCCCACCGCCCCTCTCCTCTTCCCTCCCTCCTCGGCTCTCTCTCCCTCCCCTCCGCCCGCTCCCCTCTCTGTGCCTTCTTCCCTCAGAGCTGCCCGCCCGCCCTCGCCTCAGCTGCTTTAATACCCTTCGGCTGGCCGCCTGCGCCTGAACTCTCGTCGTCAGCGCGCGGCTCTTTCTCCCGCTCGCGCGGCAGCAACAGCAGAAGAGGCAGAAGAAGAAGAAGAGGAGGAAGAAGACAGAGAGCCCCTCGCTCGGACCCTCGCCGGGGGCTCCTGGGCGGCATGCTTCTGGATGCGGGGCCGCAGTTCCCGGCGCTGGGCGTGGGCTCCTTCGCCCGGCACCCTCCTCCTCCGTCGGCGGCCGAGATGCAGGAGCGCGAGCTGAGCCTGCAGAACAGCTTCGTGGACTCGGCGGCGGCGGCGGCGGCGGCGCACCTGGGCGCCTTCAAGCTCAACGCGGCGGCGGCGGCGGCGGCGGCGCACGAGCTGTCTCCGGGCCAGGGCTCGGCCTTCAGCTCGCAGGCGCCCGCTTACCCGCACGCGGCGCATGTGGGCTCCTACTCCGCGCCGCCCTTCAACTCCCCCAGGGACTTCTTGTTTCGGAGCCGGGGCTTCGGCGACGCGGCGGCGGCGGCGGCCGGCGGCGGCCAGCACGGGCTCTTCGGGGCCGCGGCGGCGGCGGCGGCGGCCACGGGCAGCCTGCACCACCCGCACGCCGAGGCGCAGAGCCACCTGCTGTTCCCGGGCATCGGCGAGCAGCACGGCGCGCCGGGCTCGCCCAACGTGCTCAACGGGCAGATGCGCCTGGGCTTGCCCGGAGAAGTCTTCGGCCGCTCGGACCAGTACCGCCAGGTGTCCAGCCCGCGCGCGGACCCTTACTCGGCGGCGCAGCTGCACGGCCAGTACGGGCCCATGAACATGAACATGGGCATGAACATGGCGGCGCACCACGCGCACCACCCGCACCATGCCCACCCGCACCATGCCCACCCGCACCACCACCATCACCACCACCACCCGGGGGCCTTCTTCCGCTACATGCGCCAGCAGTGCATCAAGCAGGAGCTCATCTGCAAGTGGATCGACCCCGAGCAGCTGAGCAGCCCCAAGAAGAGCTGCAACAAAACTTTCAGCACCATGCACGAGCTGGTCACTCACGTCTCCGTGGAGCACGTCGGCGGGCCCGAGCAGAGCAATCACATCTGCTTCTGGGAGGAGTGTCCCCGCGAAGGGAAGCCCTTCAAGGCCAAGTACAAGCTGGTCAACCACATCCGCGTGCACACGGGCGAGAAGCCCTTCCCGTGCCCCTTCCCCGGCTGCGGGAAGGTCTTCGCGCGCTCCGAGAACCTCAAGATCCACAAAAGGACGCACACAGGTCAGTCCACGAGGGATTTCACGCTCTTTGCCGGGTCGGAAAGGGTGGTTGGTGGGTGTGAGATTGTGGGGAAGGGAAGGGGGCATTGCGACACAAATGCAAAGCAGGAGAATCCTTTTCCCATAAACCTCCCCGTGCATGCTCCCGCACACGAATCTGCTTACTCGGAAAGGTGTTTAATTTTGTCCAAACCCTTTAAAGGAAGTGATGCTTTATTTGGTCGTAAAAAATAAACACGTAAAAAGTAAAATAAAATTGCTTCCAAATGTCTGCCTTCTCTTAAGGCTGCCTGAACTGGGCCGGCTCCTCGGGGTACTTAGGGGAAATGCAATGGGATCAGATACTTAGGGGAAAGTAAAATACATTGGCATCAGTCAGAGTTGCCAAGGGAGTCTCTCCTTCAGAGTGGGACGGCTCCCTTCAAAGAAGCAAAAACCGCCTGAGCAGATAACTGGAAATACACGAAGGGACCTTACAGGTTAATCCTGAAGAGAAGCGAGTGTTGTTCCTGTCGGCATGGTCTACTTTTAAGGAAATCTGTAAAGCTGAGCAGCTGACTAAGAAATCTCTTCCTTTGAAACCCACCGGCTTCATTTCCAAATATATTCAGGTCTGAGGTGCTCCTGCAATGAACGCCGCGTTTCCAGAAAATGAGTAAATAAGTGGGTAGTTTAAAAAGGCATAGTTGTGCCGTTTTATAAATGTGATGGTAGGAATCTAAAACAGAGCTGAATTTTACATTTTGTATTTTAGACCTATATTCTAGAAAAACTACCCTTAAGAGGGAGGGGGAAGCTCTTTTCCTTTCTCCGCTCCCCTGGTCATTTCACCGCGCTTTTCAGGGACTGCTTTCCATTAAATTGAAATGGAGTGAGGCGGGACCATAAAATTTTCTCATTTGCAAAAGTGTTTTGAAAGTCTGACTTGGGGCGCCGGAAGGCGGTTTTCCACTAGTTTATTATTTTTCTTAAAGCAACATGTAATAAACAACAGAGGATTTAAAGTTGATAAACTTCCGGGGGTAGGATTTTCCCCCGCTCCTAGCGCTGCCACCCCAAAATGAGGACTAATGGGTGAGAAAGGAGGCCGCGTTTCTGGGTGATAGAAATCGTGTGAGTCCAGGTAGTGGAATCAAACAACTGCGTTTCCCAGGCTGCTAGATAATTCTACTTCAGCCGGCCAGATTTCTACTGGAGCATTTTTATTTTTGGGGTCCGCGCACTACCCCGCCCCGGGAAAAAAAGAAGACCAGCAAATATTTGAGCAATTTCCGGGCATCAGTGTTGACTGAGAGAAAGGAGCAAAACTCTGTGAGCCTTTCTGGTTGTGTTGCTGAAGTGCTAAGAACGGGTTTAGGTGCGAGACGGGCTTTAACAAGGTTTAGCAAATCCGAGACGTTGATTTGCATGGAGATGGCCGCGTTTTGCGGGGAGGGGGGGGCTCTGAGCGGATGTCTTTAAGGAACAATTTAGGTGCTAATGGAATTTCGCGTTAAATTGCGCGTCTCTCCCACCTCCGATTTCAAGGGCGGGGGAAGGATCCGGCGGTGGCTGTGTTTGAGTTCTCACACCTACAAATTGCTCGGAAATCTGGCGAAGGGGCGAAGAAGCTCTAGGAAAATTCCAAGGGAGGGTTGTGCATGTGTTTTTTGCTTCGGTTTCTCTCGCCCTCTTCGCCCCCCCCCCATCATCCCCAGCGGATATTTAGAGAACTGACTTCCAATGTCCTAGCATGAAAGGGGAGAAAAATACTACAGCAGCCTGCTATGATCTGGAGTCGTTTGGGGCTTGACGCTGTTTAAACTGGGGGTGGGGGTTTGGTTCTGGTCCGGTGGCTGTTTTTAAATGCACGAACTGGAAAAGGCTCCTTGGCCTGGCTTTTAAATGCAACACCAGTGGGAATGAAAACAAAAGAAATACGTATCCCGAAAGAGACACAAATCTCTTTATTGGGTTCCTTGGGGAATCGCGCTTTTAAAAACAATGACCACAGACCTGAGGACCTTTTTGAATTCCCCTGTTTTCCTTGTATTAGCTGGGACCCTGGCCCGGTATTTCTTTCCGAAGCTGCGTAATCCCATGCACAACTCACCCAACTCATTTCCCTCACATCCTAAATTCGACTGAGCTCCTGCGGAATTCTCAGACGAACATTTAAAGATCAGATGCCAATGAAAAGAGGCACATACGAAAAGGAGGTCGCTTTCCTTTAGCTGACCAAAAAAAACCCCGAGGATGCTCAAGTTTCTTCCAAGATCTCACAGCCACTAAATGTTTGTTTTATAGTTCTTGGTAAAAGGTCGCTTTTTAGCTGCTAAGTGGATTGGAACAGAAGCCAACCCGGCGACTCGTTCGCACGCGCTTACGCCGAAATTGGCCTTTCCCCCTTCTCCTCCTTTGCAGGCGAGAAGCCGTTCCAGTGCGAATTCGAAGGCTGCGACCGACGCTTCGCCAACAGCAGCGACCGAAAGAAGCACATGCACGTCCACACTTCGGACAAGCCCTATCTCTGCAAGATGTGCGACAAATCCTACACCCACCCCAGCTCCCTGCGGAAACACATGAAGGTAAGCCGGAGAAGCGCGACAGGGCCTGGGAAGGGGGTGCCGAGGACGGGGGCCACACACAGGACGGGGGAGGGTTTCACTGCTCCTGTAGCCCCAGGCTGCAGAGTTATTGGGAAGCAAGTCCCCCTCAGACCGGAGTGGTTTCCCAATAAACATGCTTCAAACCAAATTCCAAAGAAAATGTTGTGTGTAGCCGGAAGAGAGGGACCTTTTGGGCTCCAACCCAGCTTCCTGATCTGCTAGTAACTCAGGGGGATTTATGCAACCTTACTAAATGTAGAATTTTAGCACTGGGGGAAGGGTCGGCGGCGGTGCTGAGCCTTATTGAGCGTCCTGAAGGAAAGGAAACGGGTGGGAGAGATCTGGGAGCCTTTTCTGTGTCCCTTCAACGCAAGTTGCTTAGTTTGCTTTCTCGCTGTTGGCCTGGCAGGTCCACGAATCCTCCCCGCAAGGCTCGGAGTCGTCGCCCGCGGCCAGCTCCGGCTACGAGTCGTCCACTCCGCCGGGCTTGGTCTCCCCCAGCGCAGAGACCCAAAGCACAGCCGCCAGCAACTTGTCCTCTGCAGCGGCCGCCGCGGCTGCTGCTGCCGCCGCCGCCGCTGCGGCCGCAGTCTCGGCGGTGCACCGGAGCAGCAACGGCGGAGCGGGAGGAGGCGGCGGCGGCGGGGGGAGCTCGGGCGGCGGCGGAGGGGGCAGCGGCGGCGGCGGAGGAGCGGGCAGCGGCGGAGCCAGCGCCAGCCACGGCGGCCTCACGTCCAACTTCAACGAGTGGTACGTCTGAAGAGGCCTCCTGGCCCCGCCGCCGCCGCTCCAGCCAGATGCCTCGAAAATGAAGGAAGGAAAGCAGGAAGGAAGGAAGGAAGCCGCCGTCGAAGTCGCTCTCCGCCTTCCCTCTCTCTCTTTCTCCACCCCGCCGCCCCCTTTTGTTTGGACTGGGACATCTTGAAGCAGCAGAAGGGAGAGAAAGAGAGAGAGAAAATAAAATCTTTTGAAAGAAAGAAAGAAAGAAAGAAAGAAAGAAAGAAAGAAAGAAAGAAAGAAAGAAAGAAAAGGAAGGATTAAAAGCAGCCCAAGCGGTTCTACCCGCCACGGGACACCCGCTGCCTCCTGAGCCTTGCGGACATTCAGTTCTGCCAGCGAGGGGGGACCCCTGCCGCCCCTCCTGCCTCCAGCGCCTTGGGAACAAAAGATCAGACACAAGGAGGGAGGACCCGTCGGTCCTGGGACCAGCCGGCCCCCAACCACCGCCTCCATCCCCCTCGGACTCTCTGTGTACATAGAGGAGTCTTCGCTCCTTCCGCCAAGGAGGTGGTAATCATAAAGTTTTCTCGGTGTATAGAAATTGGTCCACTTTGTGAACTATGGATTTGGTTCTTCCCTCCCGCCCCGCGCTTTCTCTCTCTCTCTCTCCCCCAGAAGTGATGCTCTCTCGCTCTCTCTGCCTCCTGTCCTCTCTCTCTTGTTAGCTCCCCCAACTTCTCTTTCTCTTTCCTTCTCTCTTTTTTAAATTCACCCATTTTTAAAGGGAAAGGGGGGGAAGTAAAGTGGAAGCAAAATGGTTTCTTTTGTAATTGTGGTATTGAATATTGTGTTCCTTTTTTTAAAAAAAGAGGCAACTTTGATTGTAAACTTCATTCAGCTATAGACTGGAAAGATTTTAAAACAAACAAACAGAAAAACACACGTGCCAAAGTCTCCATGCCGTTCTTCGAAACAAACCCAGATTGATTCCTCCTCCTCTTCCAATGCTTGTGAATGTATTTTCTGTTAGCTGGATTTACATGTGATGTTTTAGTGCATTTTGCAAGTTCTATTTGTTAGTTCCTGTTTGGAAGTTTGTGGGGAGGGGGAAATAAACGTAGTGCCGTTAGGGATTTTTTTCCGTAATAACACCCTTCCTTGTGTAAATAGCTGTTGCCATATTTATCCATTTGTAATTAAATTATGGTATTAACTTGCTACAGAGGAAACAGTATTTATAAAGAATGTTTCTTAACTATAAATATGTACAATTGTGAGCATAAACTGTTTCAGAATTTTTTTATTTGAAGGTTCATGTGGTTTCATCATTTCTTGTGATATGTTTTTTTTTTTTGAGAGTAATGCATACAGAAATATAATAAAATGTGTTGAAACTGCAGTGACTGACATTCCCCTCCCTCTTTCTTTCCTTTCCTTTCTTTCTTGGTATGTCAAAGGTTTTCTTATGTTGATTAGAGTGTGCCTTAAGAAAGGCCAAATTCGCTATACGCTGCAAAATGTTTTAGATATGTGATTAAAATCACATGAGGGCACAACTTATACAAAAACTAAGTTTTATTAGTTTAACTAAGTATTTAAAACAAATCTACATCTTATCTTAATATACTGGGTCTGCAAAGCCAATATCATACCAAGAATGATGCTCCTAGGCTGCACTCCTGTGCATTTTTACCTTGGAGTAAATTTAATTGAAGGCATTACTGGGTAAATATGTGTGGAATTTAACTACACAGGGCTTTGCAACTCTAGGGCTGGATCTAGTCAAAGATTAGTAGTTTTAAGGGCCATTTCAGTGGAAGAATTAAGCATGTGTTTCACCTTTTTCCCTATGAAAATCAAGTCTTCCAAGTTCTTCCAGTCTCCTTTATTTCAAGTCAAATTTATACCCTTATAGACTGTCAAATCCTTTATTGCTTGTAGTTTGCCCTTATCTTCTTTTTTACTTTTATGAAAGGTCCCATTTTTAATCTGGATTTTTTTGGTACTTATGTTAAGTTTATTTTTTAAGCACTGTTCATATGCTTTACAATTTATTTGTTTTTAAATCTAGGAGTAGATCCCAAATCCTTCTCCATAAAATCTGGATTCCTTAAAAGTTGGAAACACTTCTTCCCTTGTTTAGAATAGTTCGTATGCTTTTTATTTTGCACATTTATCTGTACTAATATATATTTTTTCCCCTCCACCAAAGATGAGGAAAAAAGAGATGAACCAGATAGGCTTTAAAAAAGCAGTATCCCCCCCTTTTCTTTGTAGTGCTGGGGAACAGTACAACCATGACTTTGGTGTGACAGTACGTGTTAAAGATGCAATGGCTAAGAAAACAAAAATTTTAGGGGCTGTGTAATTTGCTGGATATGGCTTTAACAAAATTATTCTCCCCACCCCAAATTTACCAGTGTGCATGTGTGTTTGTTTGTGTATGTGTGTATAATTTAAAATAATATTCTACATGAGTAAATAGGTATATAATTAAGAATGATGACCTAAATTAACTTTTGCTTGTCTGCAAGATTGTAGATTCTCCTCCATCCTCTTGACTTCAACCCAGAATCAGTGCTTTGGACATGCTTTGATTTTATGAGCCACTTTCTAGTAACCAGGACGTGGAATTGAACTGTGAAGCCTTCAAAAAAAACCTTCGAAAGCCTGGCATTTGCCCAAAATCCAGTGCCAGCCACCTGGGCACCCAAAAGAGGCACGCATCCTTCCCCCCTTTTTCCAAGCCCCGTGCAAGTGTGCTCCTGGCACTCCTCTCACAAAACTCCGCAGCGCCAGCCAAAAACCGCTCAAACGATACATTTGCCTCTCCAGCCCAGTCGCTTGTTTTCATTGCATTCCATCCAAACCCCCCACCCTGTTTGGAATTTATGTTAGCAACACTATCCCTCTTTGGCAGGGAAGAGAAGAGCCTTGGACTGTAGTCCTAGGCCCACCTCCTCGAGAGCAAGTCCCGCTAAGCACAGTAGGACCTATTTCCGAGTAAAATTTCATTTTGGGGGCAAGCTTTTCGCCTGATGTTTGGTGCGGGGGGGGGGACAGAGACGATAGATTCGCGCTTGGGCCTGGAAGAGGATGCCCTTGAGGGAGCAATTTTTTTAAAAAAAAAATTTTTTTTTTTGCTGCGGTCCAAAAAACACAACCTGGCACGCTTCCTTTTCTCCCCAACTTGGAGCGGTCTCTTCCTTCGTAGTCATTCATTCATTCAGTCATTCTCCGCTGCATAATGTAAAAGCCCCAAAGTAATCAAATGGCTGTTAAAATCTCATTTTCCTCCCTTAATAATATTAGGCCAGAGAGAGAGAGAGAGAGAGAGAGCCAACCCAATTTTATTAAAGGAATTAGCATATGGCGCTGATCCCTGGGAGAGAGAGATCTCGCTGGCTGGGAAACTACAGCAGGGCACGGTCGGAAGAATGGCAAGAGAGGCCCCAAAGAGCATTGGATTGAAATTGGCTGTGTGTGTGTGTGTGTGTGAGAGAGAGAGAGAGAGAGGGGGGGGGGATCCGTTGTTCAGCGCCCGCTCCCTCCCGCCATTCAATGGCCTCCACCAGATTAAGTCTGATTTAAAGTTGGAACGCAGGGGAAAGACTGGGAACGTCTCTGCTCTCTTCTTTTCTGTTTCTGACCACGGCTTTGTTCCTGGTTTTTTGTGTCTCCCAGAACCTGGAGGAAGGGGGACTCCTGGATCCCCGGCTGAAAGATCCCTTCGATCCCTCCGGAAGAGGCTCGGGCCAGAGACGGCGGTGCTGCTTGCCTTAGGCTTCTTGGTTCCTTGGCTCTCCTTTCCCCAGAGGAAGCAAGCGCCGTCCGTCCGAGTCGCCCTCCATCACCGCCAACCCACACCAGCAAATGACACGCCGCAGCTTTGTGGTCCTCGCCCGTTCCCCAGCCTCCCCGATGTCCCTCGGGTCCCACCGCGGCACCCACCCACACCTGCAGGCAACGCTGGGTTGAAAAAACAGAGAAGCCTCGGGCGCGCCCGGGCGCAGCGCTCTCCACCAAGTGGTCCGGGTCCCTGCCTGACATCAGCAGCCTTCTCTTCCTTTCAGGCCCCTGGGCAGGGCAGGGAGAGGGACTCTTCTCTCCCCACCCCTTCCCCTAGGCTAGCCTTGAACTTGAACTTGAGCTGGCCTTGGCTGCCACCATCGCCCTAGTCTTGCCAGCCAGCACCCACAAAGACTCGGCATCTTGGACGGGGAGGGAACCCAGGCAGCTTTAGAAACGGATGGCGAGGCGAAATAGAGACCTGCCCAGGAGGTGGAGGTTTACAGATACAGATACATGGCGAACGCCCGTCTGAATTAGACGGAAGTGGGCTACAATACTCATCTCTCCTGTATAATGCATGAGAGAGCATAGGTCTAGGATGTATGTAATAGAACGCACTATAAATAATACAAGTCAGCTACGTAAAAAAGCTGATGGAGGGAGAGAGGCAGCCCCCACTCCACCGTGTCCGGCTGGAAACCCCGAAAGTTCCCCATCCCTTCAGACTCTCGCGAAATGGTGCTCCTCGGATTCAACCAGACTTACTTTCGAGTATACATCGGTAGAGATCAGGGCTAAATCCTTACAAAAATTGCAGACCCAGAGTCGTCAAACGGATATGCATATCCAGAAATGACTAGAAATACATTATTATTATTGTTGTTGTTGTTGTTGTTGTTGTTGTTATTATTATTATTATTATTATTATTATTATTATTATTATTACACTTTCCCCTTTTTCCCTTCTATTCCAGCTCTCCCCAATCGCCCAGGTTTGAGTCTGTCTTTCAGCTTTGATTCTGCCAAGATTTTCCCCGCCTTTGGTTTCGTTTATGTTTCCTAATTATGATTTGTGATGATTGCAACAACATTTAACTAGACTAGCAGCCGCCGTGTTCGATTACCCAGCAGTGCTACAACTAGTACGATGTGCTCTTGCGTGCTAGGAGTAAATATGCGGCAGTGTCAAACTATGTAAGTTGTAAGTATGCAATACCAACTTAAGTAGTTGAATGGGGACTAGTAGTGGCACTTTGCGCTCTCATCTGTAAAGGGAACCTGAAGAACCGGCGCGCGCGTAACCGTTGCAGTGGCAACCGGTTGCTAAACCACAGCAGCCCCAAAGAACTGTG